CAGCAGTAGAATAGAAGCCATTCAGCTTCTCTCTGTACTGCCTCTTGGCCGCTGTGATGGCTTTCCTCAGTCTGTACTTTGCAGCTTTGTACTCTGTCTCATCACCTGATCTGAATGCATGAGAGTGAGCACGCAGTATGTGGGGCACCTGACTGTTTATCCAGGGCTTCTGGTTGGGGAACCTCCTGACTTGTATGGTAGGCACAATGTTGTCGATACAGGTACTAATGTATCTGGTCACATACTCAGCATAATCCTGTATGCTGACAGAAAAGTCCTCTGAGGTGGCTGCAGCTTTAAACACATCCCAGTCTGTCTGGGCGAAACAGTCCTGCAGGGTGCCTTCAGCATCTGGGGTCCAGAGTTTAATTTGTTTGGGTTTGTTTGTTTCAGTCTTTGTCTGTAAGCTGGATACGGGAACAAAGAAATGTGGTCTGAGCGTCCAATGTGGGGGCGGGGTGCAGCCCTGTATGCACCACGTATGTTACTGTAAACATGATCCTGAGTGTTCTTGCCCCGAGTGGGAATGTTCACATGTTGGTAATATTTGGGGAGTACAATTTTTAAATTGCACTGGTTAAAGTCACCTGCAGCGATAAATACAGCATCGGGGTGAGCTGTCTCTAGCATGTTGATGACATCATAGAGTTTACTGAGAGCTGCAGAGGGATTAGCTCTTGGACTAACATACACAGCAGCTAAAAACACAGCACTATGCTCTCTGGCTAGATAGTAGGGCCGGCATTTCAGCAATAAAAACTCTACGTCTGGCGAACAGTGCTTATAAACAGTCTGTACATCTCTACACCATGAGTTATTAATAAACACACACACACCACCTCCCTTTACCTTCCCTGAAGCAGCAGTGCGATCGCTTCGATGTACAGAATGTGTTTGTAGCTGAATCGCTAAGTCATTTGTGCACTGCAGCAAAAGCAAAAAACACACAAAAAAGAAGAAAACGAAGAAAAAAACCGGCATTCAAGAGTGGAACATGCAAACACGTTCGCCTCGGTGGGTGCCATGTTGCAGAGGAACAAACAGATTTAAATTCCTACATTTTAGCAAGTAGTGAATTGTGGTTGTAACAGGTCAGCCTATAGAATTAATCGGGTTTATTTTGGATTTTAAATTCTGTTCAGTTTTTCTGGAACATGTAGAACATCTTATGTCTGTCCCATTTTATGTAATCAAAGGTTCTTGAGCAGCCTATGTATTGACTTTCAAGTGCTCTGCTCAGTAGGAATCCCCCATTAAAAAAGAAGAAAAAAAAAAATCATGATTACACCCCCACCCGAAACCACGTTCCCACAGCTATGCTTACGGGTCCCAACATACATTTACATTCGTTTCCTGGAGACTTACCTTACGCTTAACAATAACCACCACTTGCCTAACACCTAACACCTAGCCTTATCCTACATACACACATAGCACATACATAAACAAAGGCAGAAATACAGAAATATATGCATGCAGAACTATAGAAAATAATAAAAACATTTATTTAGTAAAAAAATGTCCATTTATTTACCTATGGATTTAAATATGTAATAATGATTTATTTTGGCATTAATTCAGCTATTATTTATTTACATTTCATTAAAATGGTTTATTTATACATTTCTGTATTTATATTTGCATTTATATATACTGTATATATTTAATCATTTGTTTATCAATAATTAAGCCATTTTTAGTTCTCTCTATTTGTCTCTTGTGTTGAAGGTTGTGCCACAACTGTCCTGGTGACCAGTGCCAGCACAGGAGAGATGATTATGCAGCTGCTTGTCGGCTCGGTAAGAAACTTCTCATCACTGTTTAGAAATGTACTGTAGCATGCTGGGGCAGCCAGGGGAGCACCATGGACTGTACTCAACACACACACAGGAACATACCACACATGGACAGTGATACGCCCAGAAGGTGAGGACTGGTGCGGTGGTGCGGTTGCCCACAATGTAGCAGGTGTTCTGGGGGGAGGAAACTTTGGGTTGGCTGGTTTGTTTGGGGGGAAACTATGTGTATTAAGTTCAGATGTTCAGTGTTGTGTTCTGGGAGAATAAAAGCAGCAGACATCTGGGGTCATGCAATGTATGGGGCATGGAAGCCTGCATAAAAAGACAGCCTGACTCCAGTGTCATTCCTTGGCAGAATCCCTAGAGCCCACTAGCTCGACATGTAGGTGTCAGAAGTGGGATTTTGTCAAGAATGATGTAACGACCACAGACAGAGGAGCTGATTTCCCACTTGGCGGAAGAAGTGATACTGCAGCACGGTGTGACTGGCCACGCTAATGGACTGATGATGGGGTCTATGGAGGAGGCCAGCCAGAGCAAGGTTGCAGACGGAGATAGTACACCTCGCTGGGCCAGTGGGATTAACCGAAGATTGGGATCACCCCCGCGGCCAGGCCGGAAACTAGAGGCCGTCCTGCTGACCCAAAGACTGGTTGGCCTGCTCCTACCTCCTAGTTCTCGGGTCAACAGGACCAACCCTGGCAGCAGTCGCAGTCCTGTCTCCTCCTCTTGGGTTGAAGCCTACCTGGCCCAGATCAAACTGTTGGCTGCCACAGTGGAACGGACAGAGGGAGCGAAAGCCTTACAACTGGCCCTGTTGCTGACAGAGGATGCTGTCTCACACCTGCTGCTGAGTCCAGCCAAGAGAAGTGATTGCAGTGCCTTGGTGGGGCAAGCTTTGGCAAATTCAGCCATACCTCTCTATGCAGTGAGCTCAAGCACCATGCCCAGCTGCTCAGAGAGTCCCTCCGCATCTTGGCTGCTGACATCCAGGGACTGTGTCGGGAAGCCTATGTGTCAGTGCCCCTTACCATCCAGGGTGAGTTAGCATAAAACCAGTTCATGAAGGCCCTCTCCCCAGACTACCTTATGCCTGCATGCTCAGCTGGCTCACCCTTTGACACTGGGTGAGGCACTGGAGCTCATGCTGGAAAGAGAGATGGCTGCCATCCCGCCCCAGCACAGCAATCCCCTGCAATCTGCATCCATCTGTTGGAGCTGCTGGCCACCCGGAGCCACTGAGAAGGAGGAGGAGGCATTCGTACAGGCTGCCACACTTTTACTGCCGCCACCACCGGAGCAAGGAGGAGAGAAGCTGGCTTATTGAGAGAGATGCTACTGCTGTGGAGAGCCACACTATAGCTGTCTAATAAGTTAACAAGGCCTCATATACTCTATTAGTTAATGCAGGCAATCCCTAAAATATCAATTTTGTTAGACCACCATCATTCCTCTCCCATGCAAAGTGTGCTTCACAGTATTAGCAGATATATTTTAATATGCATAAAAGAAATGGTAGGAGGGACTACATTTATGATAATGATTAAATTCAATACAAAGCTTCCACATTTAGTGTTTTCACATTGTTTTTTAAGTGTTAGTTCTGAATTTGTTCGACTTATTAGCTTTTATGTATTTCCACCACAGGACTGCATGAGTGCCTGCCACATTATTTTAGAACAGGCTTTTCTGTAGCCACATTGTTTTCCAGGGATGATTGCAGAGATCTTTGACATTAGAACTTGACAGTACGTATATGTTTGTGTGCATCTCTTTTTCCAGGTGATCAACAGTCAGGGCAGTTACTCTTTCCTGTTGTGTTGTACAATAGCGTCCTTCATTGGCTTCTGTCTGTTCCCGCTGTTCCTTTATGCTCAGCACATCCACAGAAACCGTGACTCAGGTAAACACACATCAGGCAGACACAGGTGGATACTGCGGTGAGGAGGTGGTGACAGCAGCAGTGTAAGGAAAACATTGCACTGTATACAGGGTAATCAGGGTGTGGGAATACAGTGGCAGCAATTATCAGAGAAAGTGAGATGTGATTGGTGGGGCTAGATGTCAGCTGACACCCTTTATTTTAAGACATCTAAAGGCTGAATGCAGTCTCTGCATTGTTGTGTTTTTTTTGTCAGAAGTGTTATGAAGATTTTTCTGTCTGAATCAGTCTGAGGACATAAAATTAGGCAGTTTTTGTCATGTAGAAACCCTGTGCATCAGGTAGAAAAAATATTTTGATGTTAGATATGTGCATTTTCCACATAGCCTACAACATACATTTATTTCTGCAAATTACATTCTCATCATAGCCTGGATAACTGCATAATGAATTTACAAACAGTATAAATAAATGCTAATAATTGAAAAATTTGGCTTATGGGCTTAGCCTGTCTGAGCAATGTGCTTTAATGAATCTGTTCCCAATATACGTACAAAATACAGATGTTTACAGATTGTACAGATGCTTGTTACACTTGTTAGTGCAAGCACGCAGAAATATTTTACATTCACCTTTGTCATGTTGGAGGACAGCGCTGCACATCACTTCTGTGCACTTTTATGTATATCACATTATCTGTACGTATACAACCTGAAAACCTTTAAGACCTGCCGACCAACAGCTGATCCAAACTGACATCACTTCAGATGATGGGCTAGAGGAAAGGACGTCTCATTTCTCCGGGAACATTGCTCCTTGGTTTATCTCTCATCATATCTTTACCTTGCATCTGTTCCTCACATCTTACATGAGCCATACGAAGATGCAACTGAGGGAAATAAGGAGACATTTGAAACAAATGAGAAGCACATGTGTGCCCCTGGTTTTGGTTTGTGAAACAATCTGCTTTCTGAAACATCTGAAATGTTTGGATTTGTCTGAAAAGTTAATTCTTAAATATTGTGGACACTAACTGTGCCCAAATGGAACCGAAGATCTAAAGGTCCTGGATCAGCTGTGGGTTTGGGCAAGAGAAAGGTTCCTCCTGGAGACACAGGCCAGTGGTGTTGGAAGAAAAAAGCAAATATGCTAATTTCCCAAAGTGGAATTATTCCTTTAAAGGTTCATGGTGTAAGATTTAAAGGGATTCAATATCAGAAATGGAATATAGTATTCACAGTTATATTTTCATTAGTGTGTGATCACCTGAAGCCATATCGGTGTGCTCACTGTGGGATTGAATAAAGATGTTTCCAGATTCGCACTGGATTTCAAAGACTACAATGTCTCTCTTCCAACCCAGTGCCAGACCTCTCATTATCCCTATGATGTAACTCATCAGTCAGATCTACAACAGTCCTACCACAGTGAGGACAGGCCAACAGAGAGCAGCCCTACACTGACACAATGGCAAGCCTCACAGAGCATTATGGTCAGCATTATCAGTTGGCCCTCAGGAAAATCGCTGATCTGATGGAAGCACCAAACATCATGCACAACGACAAACCATGGTTTCAAGAAGATTGCCTTAAGAGTGAGTGCACTGGTGGGCATGTTATACCAGCTTGGTGACAGCGATCAGACTGAGCTTCGCTGTAGGTCACATGTGACACAGCTGCTGTCCAAGGTACCTCAAGATATGCAGATAGAGTTTAAGAGGTTTTTGTACCCAATGTGTGTCACCATTCCCAGCCCCTGCCACTTTGCCGATTGGCTTTATTATGAGTTTAAGATCCAAGGGAAAGTGTACTAGTCCCTCCCACAGTGACGAGAAGAGTGGTGCAGGATCTAAGGAGTGCCACTGAGACGGCAAGAGTGGCAGAGCTGCCAACCTCCTCCATAGCACCGACCAACCAACTAGTACAACAGCTGTAGGGGCACCCCCTTCCAGTGCCAAGCAGCCAATGAGGATAATGCACTGTCTATGTCGCAACAATACACAGCACTTCTTCCACCACTGTGCTAACTTTGCTCAATTCAATGTGGAGCAGAGAACAGCGTGGACTAAGCGTGGATCACACCAGGCCTCACACTGCTGCCCGAAGGTCATGTGCCAGAAATGCACTGTGTATATCCAGCATGTGCATAGCTGATAATTGTTGTATTCTTTTCTGTTTCAGAACCACAAAATATGTACATACAGTGCTGTGAAAAAGTTTTTGCCCCCTTCCTGGTTTCTTATTTTTTTTGCATATTTGTCACACTTAAATGTTTCAGATCATCAAAGAAATTTAAATATTAGACAAGGATAAACCAAGTAAACACAAAATGCAGTTTTTAAGCAGCAAAGCAGCCCCAGACCATCACACTACCACCACCATATTTGATTGTTGGCATGATATTGTTTTTCTGAAATGCTGTGTTAATTTTATGCCAGATATAATGGGACGCACACCTTCCAAACAGTTCAACTTTTGTCTCATCAGTCAACAGAATATTTTCCCAAAATTCTTGGGGATCATCATGATGTTTTTTGGCAAAAGTGAGATGAGCCTTTATGTTCTTTTTGGTCAGCAGCGGTTTTTGCCTTGGAAGTCTGCCATGGATGCTACTTTTGCTCAGTCACTTTCTTATGGTTGAGTCATGAACAATGACCTTAATTGGGGCAAGTGAGGTCTGCAGTTCTTTAGATGCTGTTGTGGGTTCTTTTATGACCTCTTGGATGAGTCGTCGCTACGCTCTTGGGGTAATTTTGCTAGGCCGGCCACTCCTGGGAAGGTTCACCACTGTTCCATATTTTCTCCATTTGTGGATAATGGCTCTCATCATGAGCCGCTGGAGTCCCAAAGCTTTAGAAATGGCTTTGTAACCCTTTCCAGACTGATAGATGTCAATTACTTTCTCATGTGTTCCTAGATTTCTTTGAATCGCAGCCTGATGTCTTGCTTTTTGAGATCTTTGGGCCTACTTCACTTTGTCAGACAGGTTCTATTTAAGTGATTTCTTGATTTAACAGGTCTGGCAGTAATCAGGTCTGGGTGTGGCTAGAGAAACTGAACTCAGCTTTCCAAAAAATGTGATTAATCACAGTAAATTCACAATTTAACAAGGGGGAGCAATTACTTTTTCACATAGGGCCATGTAGGTTTGGATAGCCTTTTTCCCTTAATAAATAAAATCATCACTTAAGGACCTGGACAACTTGCTGTGATTGATGGAACCATGAATTCTGCTTTCTACCAAAAAAAATCCTGGAGGAGAATGAACTCAAGCTGTGTACTTGGGTTCTGCAGCAGGACAATGATCCAGAAGACACCAGCAAGTCCACCTCTGAATGGCTTAAAAAAAAAAAACTAAGTGAAGGTTTAGGAGTGGCCTAGTCAAAGTCCGGATTTGAATCCCATTGAGATGACATGGTGTGACCTTAAAAAAGTGGTTCATGCTCAAAACCCTCCAATATGGCTGAATTAAAAAATCTGCAAAGAAGAGTGGGCCAAAATTTCTCCACAGCAATGTGAAAGACTCATTGCCAGTTATTGCAAATGCTTGATTGCAGTTGTTGCTGCTGAGGGTGGCACAACCAGTTATTAGATTTAGGGGGCAATTACTTTTCCACATAGGGCCATGTAGGTTTGGATAGCTTTTTCCCTTAATAAATAAAATCACAAGTGACAAATATGCAAAAAAATAAGAAACCAGGAAGGGGGCAAAAACTTTTTCACAGCACTTGTATGTTCGCCCCTTCTCTGTAGATAATATACAGTAAAGCAGAGAGAAAAGGGAAACATCTTGAGCATTAAGCATAAACACTATTGCCAAGTATTATCAAAAATACAAGGAATTTGACTGCAGCCCAATGGCTCTCGATGTGCACAACAGTATAAAAAAAAAACAAGTAAAAAAAAAAAAAAAAAAAAAAAGACAAAATGTACACACATACATATATATAGACAAGTTAAAAGAGCTACTGTAGCTAATGTACAGTGGGTACAGAAAGTATTCAGACCCCCTTAAATTTTTCACTCTGTTATATTGCAGCCATATGCTAAAACCATTTAAGTTCATTTTTTTCCTCATTAATGTACACACAGCACCCCATATTGACAGAAAAACACAGAATTTTTGACATTTTTGCAGATTTATTAAAAAAGAAAAACTGAAATATCACATGGTCATAAGTATTCAGACCCTTTGCTGTGACACTCATATATTTAACTTAGGCTCTGTCCATTTCATCTGATCATCCCTGAGATGGTTCTACACCTTCATTTGAGTCCAGCTGTGTTTGATTATACTGATTGGA